TACATTCTAAACTGAAAAATACATCTTTTTCTTGTTAGAGGGTGAAGATTACCTTTTGTGATTTGGAGAGCAGAGGGAAGGCTTCTTAGCCACGAAGGAAATACTGAAGTGGGAGGCTTCTGATCTGCTATTTTCAGTTGTGAAACAGGAATCATGAGCTGGCTGCTGAGTTTGTTGTAGTATTTGAACAGATAAAAAGCATCTGACTGTAAGCCACGTGCTGGGGCTGTTGGCTGGCAGCCTGTTCACCAGTGTTCTGGTCAAGGGCTTGAATTCTCAGCCTGTTTAAGCAAAGCCCATTTCTTTCCAAGATTAGATGAGGGATTGCAGAACACTCAGGTACTCAGCTGCAGGCTGTGACCTCAACAAACCCAGTGGTTCTGGGCACAGTCAGACTCTTGATGTGCAAGAAAAACTAATTATACATATATGTAGTGTAATCCTATTATAGATATAATAGGATATGTAGTTCAGCCTTAATTGTACATCATTTTCCTTGTACTTCCTTTATATAAACAGTTTGTTTTCTCCAACAACTTCATCTCCTGTAGTTGTTGAAGTTGTTTGCATCCTTCCAAGAGCCCCACAGCTGAATTCTTGTTGTGGGTGTTGCTGACTCAGCTGTGCTCCAGAATTCCCCTGTCCTGATCAGCACTGATAAGTTTTGTGACATTAATTTCTCTGGAGCAGGAGGGTTCTCACATCCTCATTCAACAGCACAAAACAGAGTTGCAAACGGGTTTCTGTAGATGTTTTTCTTTCTAAAAACACTGGATGTTTCTGTATTATGTTTTTCCTAAACATATCTCCAGGTTTTTGGGGTTTTTTGGGGTGTGACAGTGGTGGTGGCTCAAGCAGATGTCCCTGAGCTGGTAAAAGCTTTCTTAGTAAAACTGAGAAAGTGTGTGTACCTTTTGATTTGCTTTTTTTCTGTCTTTCCTACAACATAAAATGAAGGATATTCACTGGAAAACCTGCTTTGGAGCTGAGTATACCAGTGGTAAAAACTCACCCAGCACATACAATCTAATGGGAAGGAATCTATATTACACAATAATAGTCTAAAGATATAAAATTTAAAAAGTCTAAAGGACTAGAAATGATTTGGTGAGGGCAATCTACTGCTCAATAAAAATCCCTCATTTTTTAGCACATTTGCTGCATAGATGAACACACCTTAATAAAATCCATCTCCAACCTGGACCCTGTACATTTTTAATGTATTTTTTTAAAGTATTCCAGTGTGTCATCTGTGCTAGTCTGAGGAAAAAGCTCTTATACCTGATCCTGTCTTCAAAAGTAGCTGCATGTGGATTTGTGTAATGTATTTTTTTTTTAATATGTTTTTTCTCTTTTTCAAAGCTTTGGGGTTTAAATTTTGGCACAAATTCGCTATTTGGAGGTAGATGATACTTTAAAAGCTTATTTGTAATAAATCCAAACAGAGGCTCTGCATGGCAACTGAGAGTTTTGAATAAGGTGAAGGAAAGTTTCCATTCTTGGCCCAAATGGGACCATCAGTCTCCTGTCATATGGAGTGATTAGAGGTGTAGTGCACTGAGCAGAGGGATGAAGGACCCCGGTCCAAACCCCCGCTCCAAATTTTGGAAGGGCTTGAGAGCTGTTTAGCCCATTAGTAGCAGAACTGTAGCTGCTTAAGTTCCTGGCCTTTTTTCCCTTCGTTCTCCAGTGGTAGAAGTTCCTTTTTTTCACTTATTTCAAAATTGCTGAATTATCAGGCATTTGAAAAAACCCAAACACACACAAAACACAGTTCAAGCTATTATCCAAGTCTTTCCCTTCCAGTCGTCCTTCCCTCTGCTTGTGGTTCCCAGTTCCCTCATGGAACAACTTTTATTTTCCTCCTTAATAATTTCCACAAATTGCTTTTCCCTTGCTCAGTCATGCTCTACACTTTTTTGGGGCTTTGGGGTTTTTTTTGTTGTTGTTTGTTTGTTTTGTTTTCTGTGGGGTTTTTTGTTTGATTTTGGTTTTTGTTTTGTTTTTATTTTTTATTTTTATTTCTTTTATTTTGTGGTTGTTTATGTTTTAGGTTTTTGTGGTTGTTTATGTTTTAGGTTTTTGTGGTTGTTTATGTTTTAGGTTTTTGTGGTTGTTTATGTTTTAGGTTTTTGTGGTTGTTTATGTTTTAGGTTTTTGTGGTTGTTTATGTTTTAGGTTTTTGTGGTTGTTTATGTTTTAGGTTTTTGTGGTTGTTTATGTTTTAGGTTTTTGTGGTTGTTTATGTTTTAGGTTTTGGTTTTTTTTCTATTTGGTTTTTCGGGGGTTTTGGGTTTTTTTCTGTTTCGGTTTTGGGGGTTTTTTTGGGTTTTTTTCTGTTTCGGTTTTGGGGGTTTTTTTGGGTTTTTCTTTTTATATGTTCGGTTTGGGGTTTTTCTGGGGTTTTTTCGGGTTTTTTTGTGTGGGTTTTTTTTGGGTTTTTTGGGTGGGTTTTTTGGTTTGTTTTTGGGTTTTTTTCGTTTCGGGTTTTGGGGTTTTTTGGGTTTTTTTGGGAGTTTTTTGTGGGTTTTTTTGGGGGTTTTTTTGTGGATTTTTGGAGGTATTTTTTGGGGGGTGTTGTGGGGTTTTGGGTTTTTTTTTATGGGGGTTTTTTTGTGGTTTTTTTTTTCATTTTTAATTTTTCTTATTTTTGATTTCTGGGGATTTATTTTTTGTATTTTTTTTATTTTTTTTATTTTTTTTTTCTTTTTTTACTTTTTTTTTTAATTTTTTATTTTTTTTTTGGGGTTTTTTTGCATTTATGTGGGTTTTTTGGGGGGTTTTATTTTGGTTTTTTTCGGGTTTTTTTGGGGGGTTTTATTTTGGTTTTTTTGGGTTTTTTTTGGGGGTTTTATTTGGGTTTTTTTGGGTTTTTTGGGGAGTTTTTTTGGCATTTTTTGGGGGGTTTTTGGACTATTTTTTTTTAATTTTTTGGGGTATTTTTTGGGGTATTTTTGGGTGGTTTTTTTTTCACTTTTTGGGTGTCTTTTGGGGGGGTCCCGAGGTTGTTTTTGGGGGGGTATTTTTTGCTTTTATTTTGGTTTTTTTGGGGCGGTTTTGGGGCGGTTTTGGGGCGGTTTTTTGGGGCGGTTTCTGGGGCGGTTTTGGGGGGGGTTGGTTTTTTTTTATTTTTATTTTTTTAATTTTTGGATTTTTTTAATTTTTTGATTTTTTTGATCTTGTGATTTTTGATTTTTTTAATTTTTTTTATTTTTTGATTTTTTTTTTATTTTTGATTTCTGATTTTTTTTGGTTTTTTGTTTTTGTTTTTTTTTTTTTGTTTTTTTTGTTTGTTTTTTTGGTTTTTTTTTTGGTTTTTTGATTTTTTGCTTTGATTTTTCTGCTTTTTTTGATTTTTTGATTTTTGATTTTTTGATTTTTTGATTTTTTTTGAATTTTTGATTTTTTATTTTTTTCCTTTTTATTTTTTGATTTTTTGATTTTTTTTTGATTTTTGATTTTTATTTTTTATTTTTTATTTTATTTTTTTATTTTTTTATTTTTTTGAGGAGTTTTTTATTTTTATATTTGTATTTTTTTTAATATATTCATCCTGTATAACCTGAGAAGTTCAACAACAATAAGTAGAAGTAAGCCTGTTTTTACGTGTAATGAAAATATTTTGCAGGAAGGCAGCAATGTTTTCATATTGACAATGAATGGCTCGTGGGGTCAGTCAGGTTGGCCACACCTGATTTAAGTCCTAAGCAAAATAACATCCCAAAAGTCCTTGGAGTACCTTTGCTTCTGGAACTTGCACTGATGTAGCTGTTTCTGTAAAAATCATCTTTGGAAGCAGATCTCTTTGAATCAATGAATAGAATTCCATAAAAATCCTAGGACTGGGAAATTGTATTACACAGTGGGTTTGCATAGTCTAAATTCGAGTTTTCCACTTAAAACACTGAAAAAAATGTCCTCAGTAATTAATTTGCACCATTTAAGTGCACGTGGAATTTCCATTAAAAATAACAATTCTTCTCGGTGGAAGAGAGACTTGAGTGGAAAATCTTTGTCCTAATCATGATGTTTCATGAAGTGTTTAAAGAGAAATATTTTTATCTTTAATCTGTGAATTATATATATATATGATTTGAAAAGTAGCTGATGCAAGAAGAAATGAGTGTCATTCCTCTCCCGGCATCAACTCTGACAGTTGGTTGTGGGAGGAAGATGCCTCTTCATTGTCTGTTTTCCTTTGCTTGTTACCTTCCTTTCATAAATAAGGAATGAAAAACAGCCTTTCTTTTTTTGATGTAGCTTATAAGACATTCCTGAGAGGGTGTATTTTTCTCTCTTTTCATTGCCCTGCACTAATGGCAAGTCACACTCAAAACCTCCAGAGACAAACTAGGAGACAAGTACACAGACATATGTTAGGTTTTCTTTTATTTAGGTGGAAAACGAGTCATAAATCCTTAACCATCCCTGCAGACTATTTGCAAGACAAAAATAAGTCTCTCTGCCAACGTATCCTGTTTTCAAAAAAGCTTTTCTCCAATTTTTTTCAGAGCTACAGGTCTGTGCAGTGGAAGTGAGACTTCGTGAGGCAGATATTGCACTGAAATGCCTGTTCTCCAGCAAAAAAAAATCATCATGATTGGAAAGGCACAGCCTGTCTGGTTGTTTATGTGCTCTAACACAACTGCCTTGGAGTTTTGTGGATCTAAACAGTTTTTCAGGGATCTCTGTGTAATAAATCAGTGTCTGATTGGAAAGGTGGTTTCCTACAGAGGGGCCCTGACAATGCAGGAAACTCGGAATCTCGCCTTGAAATGGTGTCTCTGTGATCTCCAAATGTGCAGTGGCTCAGATGAGGGGCTGGAGGGCACCCTCAGGCTCTCGGCAGGGTGGGAGTGTGGATCTGCGAGGGCAGGAAGGATCTCCAGAGGGGTCTCAATCCCTGGGCTGAGGCCAACGGTCTGAGGTTCCCCAAGGCCCAGGGCTGGGTCCTGCCCTCGTGTCACAATGATTCTCAGAATCTAGAACCTTCTGGCACGCCGTGGGCAGAGGTTCTGTGTCGTGTTGGTACCAGTTGCTCTTGGCAACCCTTTGGTTGCCCCTTGGGTCGCCCCCAGAGCTGCAGGAGGAACGGGGTGGAGGAGGAACGGGGTGAGCTGGGAAGGGCCATGGTTGGTGCTGCCGGGGGGGACGTCCCTGGCCAAGGTAAGGACAGTGACCCTCTCACTGGCTTTTCTCTGGGTGTTGTCACCTGTTCTCAGAGCAACAGAGGGGAAAAAGCCGCAGCCACGGCTTGGACAGGAACACTCTTTGCTGGGTCAGGGACTGGCTGAGGGCTGGGCCCAGAGAGTGCTGGGGATGGAGCTGCATCCAGCTGGGATCTGTCACCAGTGGTGTCCCCAGGGATCAGTGTTGGGCCCAGTCCTGTTTAATAGCTTTATTGATGATTTAGATGAGGGGATTGAGTCCATCATCAGCAAATTTGCAGATGACACCAAGCTGGGGGGAGTGTCCATCAGCTGGAAGGCAGGAGGGCTCTGCAGAGGGACCTGCCCAGGTTGGAGAGTTGGGCTGATTCCAAGGGGATGAGGTTCAAGCAGGCCAAGGGCCGGGTCCTGCCCTTTGGCCACAACAACCCCCGGCAGCTCCAGGCTGGGCCAGAGGGGCTGGAGAGCAGCCAGGCAGGAAGGGAGCTGGGAGTGGGGATGGACAGGGAGCTGAACAGGAGCCAGTGTGCCCAGGGGGACAAGAGGGCCAATGGATCCTGGCCTGGCTCAGGAACAGGGTGGCCAACAGGGCCAGGGAAGTGATTCTGCCCCTGGACTCAGCGCTGGGGAGGCCACCCCTGGAGTGCTGTGTCCAGTTCTGGGCCCTCAGCTCAGGAAGGACATGGAGGGGCTGGAGCAGGGCCAGAGAAGAGCAACGAGGCTGGGGAAGGGACTGGAGCACAAGTGCTGTGAGGAGAGGCTGAGGGAGCTGGGGGGGCTCAGCCTGGAGAAGAGGAGGCTCAGGGGAGACCTCCTCACTCTCTGCAACTCCCTGACAGGAGGGGGGAGCCAGGGGGGGGTTGGTCTCTTTTCCCAGGCAACCATCAGCAAGACAAGAGGGCTGGGTCTGCAGCTGTGCCAGGGGAGGGTTAGGTTGGAGATTAGGAAGAATTTCTTTGCAGAGAGGGTGCTCAGCCATTGGAATGGGCTGCCCAGGGAAGGGGGGGATTCTCCATCCCTGGAGGTGTTTAAGGACAGACTGGATGTGGCATCAGTGCCATGGGCTGGGAACCACGGCGGGGTTGGATCAAGGGTTGGACTTGATGATCTTGGAGGTCCCTTCCAACCCAGCTGATTCTGTGATTCTGTGAAAAGCTGCCCTTGACAGGGCAGATGCCTAATGAGGGATGGACGGGTGGGGACAGGCAGACGGGTTTATTTGGCAGGGTGGTGTTTGGTCAAAGGTTGGATTCGCCCTTGGAGGTCACTTCCAACCCAAATAATTGTGAGTCTGTTTAAATATACACACTCCTGCATCACTCAGTGCTTACAAAACATCACGTTTCAACTTCTGCCCTCCTGTGTAGCTTAAAGCAAAACACAATCTATCTGATGTGGAACCTGAGCACTTGTAGCTGAAACAGCCATTCTGTGGCTTGGTTTTCTGTCTCTGCTCTCAGGACTGCGTACAAAAATGCTTTTAGCACAGAGAATCTGCCCCAAACAGCTCTCAGTGCTATAGCCTGGGTGCCTGACTTGTCCTGTTGTGTGTGGCAATGGCAGTGTGCATATCACAAAATGTCAGGTAATTTTATAGCCCTTGTCAGAACTGTACATGAAGTGAAAGCAGTGCAGAGGGTAGGTGTTCATTCTATCAAGTGAACAAAGCCACCTAAACGTTTTTTATTACACTTGAAAGTAGCTTAATTCACTTTCCCCCAGCTGATCAGAAAGTTTTGGTGTTTGATTCTCAGAAGGGGGGGGGAAAAAAAAGGATTGGCAGCTGGAGAGGACAGGAGGGTTTGCTGAGCAGTGGAAATGCTGGTGTGATGAACAGGAGCATGAAGTCAATTAAATCCCCACCTGTAGTCTAAGTTATCCAGCCCCAAGTGAGCAGAGGAAAGACTCTCCTGAACCAGTACCATCATCCCAGATCAGAGAGTGACAGCAGGCAGAAAAGTGTCACCATGTCACACCCTTTATTTTATTTCTGGAGCAAAGACTCCACCTGAGAACCCTTCTGCCCAAGGGGTGAGTGCTGGTCCTACTGAGTTCTCCAAAATGTTTCTCTGGTTTGCTGCAGAGGGAATATTTCTCTGCTGAAGTCAAGTCACAGCCTAGTAAGTCACCTTGCCAAGCAGAGCCGTTATGTGCAAATAACAATTGATTATATGTACTAAAACGTTAATATTAGCAGCTAAAACTTTGTCACTTGGCAGGGTGCTGCATGTCCTGCCCTTCCACTGCAATTATTGCTCTTCTCTAGATGTGACTTCAGTGAATAACAAGTGTTACAGTCACTGACACCTCAAATGTTCTTCGAAGAGACTAAAAGATGGAAAGGTTAAAAAAATATGCAGTGTCTAACTAATGTCGATTATGAAAATTGATTGTTTTTACATAACCCTTTCTGCTTAGGAGAAAAATGAAGGCAGTGCCTTCTTCCAGTTTAAACTTCCCAGTTTTAACTCAATATTTGTATCAGGTTTGGACATGTTTTATTTCCTTTTATAGAGCAAAATATTTTATTTTGGGGTCAGTATAGGCAATTCTTATTTGCACTGCTTTAAATCAATGAATTTCACTTAAACTGAAAGAGGATTTCAGATATTTTACTTGAACTGAAAGGATTTCAGAGCAAAGGATGAGTTTTTTGACTGGTTTGTCTTATGTGCTATGAGCTGAGTTTGTGGTTTCCTCAATGGAGGAAAATCTGTTGTGTAAGCCCCAAATGCTAATTATTTTTAGTGAGTGATTCAGAGCAGCTTCAGTCATTCAGACCATCTGTTTATATTACTGATATCTGTTTGGGTTTTACAGTATTCTCCTTTTATTTCTTTCCCCATTACTCAGTGTTTCCCATTCAGACACCAGGTCTCTGTGCTCCCTCCTTCTTTTATTATAATATGAAGCTTTTCTTTCTGAAAAGCTAAGAAAAAATAGTCGCTCTTGTCATCTCTCTGTGGCAAACAGAGGAGTTATTTTTTTTTTACCCTCACATATTATATTTTTTGCTTTCTTAGAACCATCAGCCATGAGGATCTGGTGGCTCACTGTGGCCATCTCCTCATGACACTAAATCTGTTATTTTTCAATATATTTTTCCCCAGGGTGGTGCCCCTTCTTTCCTCTAAAAACCACATTTCAGTTGCAGCACTCCTTGAAAAAAAGAATGTTTCACAAAAAGAATTTCTCGGAAGATTCTGAGAATTGTTTTCTTTTGCCTTGAGTCCTCTCAGTGTTTTACTTCCTTTGTCTTTAATTAGCGTGGAAAAGAAGGTGGGGGAAAGAAAAAAATGGACAAGGCAGACTGAAGTAAACACCCAAATATCTGGTTTCATTTAAGTTGGGCTTCTCATGACTCTTGTCCTAGCAAGAAAAGAACTAAGAGGGGGGAAAAAATACGTGGAAAGGTGCTTCTGAAAGCTGATTTCTCTGAGTGCAGGAATTTGGGGGAGGAACAAACTATTCTAAACTCACCTCTAAACCTCTAAACTCTCTTTATTTTCGTTGCCACGGGTTCATTTGCAGAGGGCCAGCTCCTTCAGGTGCTGGGTGTGGATCCTGGCTGCCAGGAGGGGTGGTGGCAGGGGGCTCTCCTTGTGCGCTGTGCCGACCAGGAATGGTGAAAAACTGTAGTTTCGTTATTTATTGAAGGCATCCAGAGGTGGGGGAGGGAAAACAGCCGGCAGTGTTCCCACCCCCAGCTCCCTGCCGGGGCTGCTGCCGGGGTGCAAAGCTGTTCCCCATCACTTTGCAAACAAGATCCATTGTTGCTGCTCCGCAGAGGGAGAAAATTATACTGACAAATGATAATGGTGTTGACTCCCTGGTAAGAAAGTGGAAGCTTTATTGCTCCACAATCAAACAAACAACTTCCTCTGCATCTAATGAATGGGTTCAGCTGCAAGTCAAACATAATTGCAGATAAACCCTGTTTAATATCAAAGCTTGAAGGCAATTAAGCTCCCTGAACTCCACCAGTTCTTTCTCTGTGACCTTTGGTGCACTGACTGCAAGAAGGAAAAATGACATGTAAAAACCCTCATAAAGTGCTTCATTCTGAAGTGGGAAATCTGAATATTCATAACGAGAACATTATTTCTGGGATTTCTTTGGGACTGCAGCCTTATCTCACACCAAAGTTCTACTGTAAGGTGTGCATATTTTTAATTTATTTGCTTGGGATAGGGGAAGCCATCAGGGAATTCAAGCTTACAAGGCAGGGAGAAGTTGGAAACTCTTTGTGTTTGGGGTTGATTTTTTTTTTTTTTTTTTGAAAGAGACCAAAATGCCCAATGTATTCATATTGGATATAACGAAAGCAGTTCAATGTCCCTGGGTCTTCTGCAGGATCACTGATTGCCTGACACGAGACCTAATGGCTTTCTGTCAGATATTCCCAACTTTAACCAGGTGTCTCACCTGAGAGCCACAACCTTCTGCTGCTGTGTCCAGCAAAAGATTTCTGTGCCACCAGTACTTTACAATTTAAACTGTTGGAAAGTGAATGCCCACAGTTTGTTTTTACACAGTGACCATGAGGACGTCACTGAAATTAAAAGAAATTCTGGTTTAAAAGCCTTTGAAGTGCCTCCAGACAAGCACTGCTGGTGGTCTCCTGATGCTACTGCCAGGAAACAGTCATTTCTAAAGGTGGGGTTCTCGTCTCTTCAGCAATCCAGAAGTAAACTCAGGCTGGTTCACGCAGCTTTGCTGAACACCCTTCAGATTTTGGGTTGGTATAGATCAGAGAGGCACCTGATGAGCTATTTTTAAACTGCTCTTCTCAAACAGAATAATTTCTAGGTCCCAGTTCAGCAAGAATAAAAAGATATGTGTGCCTCTACCTTTCCCCTGAGGCTAATGAATGAACTTATTCCTGAAGATGTAGACCAGGTAGTTGTTCAAAAGCTGATTATTTGTTCAGGGACAAAAGTCTGATCTGTTCCCTTGATGAGTTCCACTGTCCTTGGGGTAGAAAGTTACATTTAATTTTTCTCAGCCGGTTCACTGTGACTTTTTTCTGAAAGCAGCTTCAAATAAGAAGGTGGAATAAAAGATATAAAGGTGACAGTTGTTTCTTCACTTCCTCCAGCTGAAAAGGGAGTGTAAGTCATATCTCCTTTATGCTGGCCAACAAAGTGGGCTCCAGGGTAACGCTGTGTCAGAGTGGAAGGGGGAACAAAGGACTGGAGAGATGAAGATCAGCACCCATTAACACCAAATTAATTTGTTTTTTAAAAGGAACTGTCACCGTGTTTTGAACAAAAGTGTCGGTGAGACCAGGGAAAGAGCGTGATGTACACAGATACCTTATCTGGCACTTCATTGCCTAAGGGAATTACATTTGAGAGTCCTGTTCCTGGACATAGAGAAGTCCAAGTCTGGTTTAGCTCACTTAGAGATACAAGGCTTAAGTCACAGAGGTTTGTTGAGTCACCGAAGTATTTTGAGGATAGAAAACAATCATCAATCTGAAACTAAAGCTGCAGCTGTCAAAAATCTTTTGTCGTATCTGTGCTTCCTTAATGACTCTAAAGGAAGGCTGAACTTCCTTGGAAATGTTGGTGTGTCTGCAGTACCTGGCAGAAAGGAATAAGGCAATGAACAGTGGAAGTTCAATACAGAGAGAGTTAAGATATTATGCAAAAGCCTCACTGTTATCAATTTGCAACAGCTACAGTCATGTAGTTCTTGGATAAGGATGGGCAAAGGCAATGGATGCCAATCCTAAATACGTGAGGGGATGGTGGGAGGAAAGAGGGATAACCCATTTCGGGGGGAGGCTGAAGTTTTCCATAAAGAGTAATTAATAAAAGCTGCCTTTTATATTTCTAATACACCATGTTGTGATTTGGGAGCCTTTATATCCAGAGTGTGGCTTGAACAATAATTAAAGAGGTGCTGCTCTCCTGCTGCAGTGGAAGAGCATGAAAATGTGATGGGCTGGAAAGAATCTGGTTTTTTAAAGGTGTAAATGAGAGAGAACCCCTCATTTTTGCTTTTCCTTTGCCACTGCAGCTGGTCAGGTTGATTTATTTTCTCCTAGTGAAAATTTGAGGTGTGTGTTTCAAGCTTTCTCAGTTTCTGGTTTAATAGACTAGGAAGTTATATTTTCAGTGCTGCATCCGTGCCCCTTGTATTACTCAGGAAACCTGTGCTTAACTCAGCCACTGGCAAACCTCAGTTCCTCGCTTTGGATAAACATTTAAACAGCAACTAAAATAACACAATTTCCAGAAAAATTTTGGGAGATCCTCCCTTCCTGTAGCATGCCATGGTGATCAAAGCTTTCTATCTACACGCAAAAAATGCTCATTTCATCAGTCTGAATGGGGGGAAATTCCCCCTTGCACATGTGTTTGAAGGCCTCTTGCCTCCTTGTACCTGCTGCCTCTGCCAAGGGGCATCCTGGGGAATATTTCCCCAGAGGCTACTTAGAGAAAATATTAAAGCCCCAACAGTGTAGCTTGTGGAAGATTTGGATCTATTGTTTTACTGCTTTTCTCATCCATGACTGTAATGGCTGGTTTTGCATTAATATGTTTTCAGTGTAAATGAACAATTGTATTTCATGCCTCGGGCAGATTATTTTCTCATTACCACATTAAATACTAAAGGCTGTTTTTCTGCCTCAGATCCACAGTGTCTGTCAGCATCTGCCTAAAAACCTCTGCTGTGGAAGTCAGTGGTGCCAGACTGAAGTACCATTGAGCTAGAAGTTAGAACCTGGCTCCAATATTCCTTGTAGCACTTGGAAAATTGAAGAAGCTCTTGTGTTTAATAGCATATATGATGTTTATGAGAAAAGTCTATAATTTTCCTACCCCAAGATCACTAAGAGTAGATAAATAACAGTATAAGCAATGATTAAGGCTCATACCTTTATTCACTTCACCTTTGTTGATATTAGTGAAAGTTTGCACCTTTGTCTCAACCAAGATTTTGGTTCAAGTGGGACTTTAGAATTAACTGTAGGATGAGTGGACTCAGTTTTCCAGGAGCTGTGGTCTCATTGTGCAGTTCATTTAATCCAATGTGCTTCTTTAATCATGTCCTGCCTGAAGGGATACAGAAAAGTGTGTGTGCCTGAAAATACTGTTCTAAACCCTGTGGCAGTTATCTAATGATTCCAGGGTGGAGGGTTTGATATCTGAGTATCTGAACAGGGAACAGAAGAGTTCTGATTTTGGTCATGAGAGGAACTGAGCTGTCTGTGTGCTGGTTGAAAATGACTTTTCACTTTCTTCCTGGTGTGCTCTGTTCTTTAGATTTTTATGTACTAATTAGCTGGGTAACCAGAAAGAAAAAACACCACCTAACTGACTGATTTTTCAAAACAGTCCTCCTGTGTATATGTAGTGGAAATGCAAGGAATCAATGTGCTTTCCATTCTGCCATTTCTACCTGCTCTTTCCCTGTTCTCATTTCTTTGCCAATGTATTGTCAGTCCTTCCTCTGTTGTGTGTCTGCTCCTCAAAAGCCTGGATTTCAAAGGCTGTCAAGTTTTCTTACAGTCTCATGTTTGCCCAGCTTGTGGTTGGAATGAATGAGAGTCTGCAAAATGAGAGAGAAATGCAGAGAAACTCGGTGTCTGATACTTGTGGGGAGAATATTTTCTTCCAAGAGACGGAATGAAATGAGTTCAGTTGATTTCTGGAACAGCAGATGCCAACCATTTGTGTGACCATCAATCCCCCAATAATGATCCCCCAATAGGGATCATTAACAAAAGCTTCTCTAGGCTTTGCATATTGATAGTGTGAGATAATGGCTCTGTGGCCATATGAGTCTTTATTTCACAGATCCTAATGTGATGAGATTTCTCCTCTTAGATTTCTCCTCTTAGATTTCTCCTCTTAGATTTCTCCTCTTAGATTTCTCCTCTTAGATTTCTCCTCTTAGATTTCTCCTCTTAGATTTCTCCTCTTAGATTTCTCCTCTTAGATTTCTCCCTTAGATAAAGGCTGTTGGTTAAGAATTGAATCAGTTCCCCGTGTTTCTCAGCTCCATTTTAGTGGAACTGAAATGCTTCTCACCTTTTGCTTCTTGTCAGGATTTGAATTCCTGAGCTCTTTGGGCCTCCAAAGGGGAAAGAGGGGCCCCCTGGGGGTCTGAAAAAGAGCAAATTGTGCCCAAGGGGCAAATAGGAAGTTTCAGGAAAAGGAAATCAAAAACTAGCACCACTTGAAGGCTAAGTAAATAAACTGTGGCTAATTTCACACAACCCCTTCCCTACCTAAAATAAATGGACTTAGGGAAGAATAACTTTAGGAAGAGCAATGTGATTAGTGGCCTTCTCAGTTCTGTGGCTTTTGAAGGGAGTTAAGGAAGTCCATCAAGTCCATCCTTTGGAATTCTGAATTAGCTGGTTATCCACTACTGAACTCTAGTGAAGACTGAAAAACCAATTGGGAGACCTGTGATTAAAAACAAAACAAACAAAAAACCCCAACAAACTGGCAGGGTTTGGGTCCGGGTCTGGTTAGGGTCAAAGATCAGTTTGTCTGAAAACTCTTAGAAAAGTTTCTTGATCAAACAGATTACTTTTGATCTTGTGTGATCGGGAGAGAGAGAGCAAAGATGGGTCTTCTGGGGCATTTTTTTGGACCCATCTTATTTCCCCTAAATATTCTCCACAGTGAGCTATTTGTTAAGGTGTCCCCAGAAATGTCAAACGTTTAAGTTGAGAAAAAGATACTTGCAGAAGCAAGAGTGGAGCTTTAATGTATGCAAATATTCCTTCTATAATCCAGATTTTTAAGAGCAGCAGTATTCATTCAGCCAGGAGCACTGCTAAGAGAATTAGTATCCAGTGACAACAACCAATAAACCTGGCACTTGAAATACTAGGCAGATGTAATGAACTCACTGGAGAACAATCTCCATAGATAAATAGCCATAAAATGAATGGTTCTGGCTAGTAAATAAATACAAAGATGTGATGTTCCTCATGAACAGATAAAGGCTTAAACTGTTTAAAAATGACTCACTGTAGGCTGCCATCCTAGTTCTCTGTAGAAAGAAATGTTCTCCTGAAGTGTGCAGCCCATACTGATGTGGTTTGGATAAAGCAGATGGAAAGGAATATTACTAGAAACACAGGAAACCTTCCTGAACCTTGCCTGTCCCTCTGTGCCAGTCCTGCAGCTGCACAAGTTGGTAATACTTTTTTTTGCCCCTCCCAAACCCTGCCAGTCAGTCGTGCAGTTTGACTGATCCTACTCCTTTCATGTGGTACAAACAAACTGAGTTGGATGCAAGGAAAACGCCTCCTTGCAACGTGCCAGGGATATTCCCCCACCCCTCTGCATGCCAGAAAATGGGATGTCCACGTTTACAGCCTTCCCTGCAATTCCATTTTCACCTTCTAACAGGGAGATGCCCCCACTTTGAATAGAGATCTCTGCTAGGGAGTAGTAACATCACTGTGTGTAATTTCCCATATAATTTCCAGGGAGCTGCTTGGAGACAAGGGGGGAAAGTGTGTGTGTTTGAAGTAGCTCTGCCCCACTCTCCAGGTTTCTAATGTGCCTTGTTCCCAACCTAGAAGCCTTTTGAGGTGACCTGCTGAGATACAGAACAACAGTCTCTCTCTCCTGCTTTGCAAGCATAAGGTGAGAAATCTCAGGGCCTGTAAAACTTGGGATAGTGGGAAGACCTCAGAACAACTGCTGGAAACCCTGCCAGTGGGATGCTTGCTTTGGTTGTGTTGTGGCAGGGTGGGGATGTGCATTGAAAAGTTGCTGTTAGGAGGATGGTGCCCGTGGAATCAGCTCCTTGTGTGTCTGTAGCCCGAGGAGGAGTTTGGATGGCTCTGTTCCAGTGAGGAATTGCTCCTGCACTGAGGTTATTTATGGCACTGTGGTGGTGAGAGCTTCATTGTGCCCTATTAGATACAGCTCACTTGACAAATAAATACAGATAAGGACTGGAGAGACTCATATACTGTCCAACTGTTTGAAGGAATTTAGTACTGGATGGACCTTCTGGTATCCTGAGTCCAGTTTACTGGCTGTCACAGGCATGACATGTATTCATACATTATCTGCTACAAAAATACATCTGAAACTGTGCTGGGCTCAAGATCTTTCTCAGCATCTGCCAGGCCAGTGTTTCAGAGAAATACTTTTCCTCTGTTACACACCTCTCCTAGTTTCTTATCTATATTTATTTATATTTTGATTCTGTGCCAGCTTTATCCTGTAACTTAAATTATTTTCTCTGCGCACAACCCTTGTATGAATGAGGGTTATGGATAATGAACCGAAGGCAGGGGTGACTATTCCTGGCCTTGGCTTTTTGTCTGTCTGGGGTGCTAAACAATGTGCTCTGCTGTGGTGGGGCTGCCCAGCTCCTGATAATCTTGTGCCTTTTCCTGTTGGTGTTAATCTTTCCTCACCCCAGATGATCAGAGGATTCAACACGAGTTTGGGTGCTTTCTGTTGTGGTGCCTTGTACAAGACTTCCCTGAAAATGGCTTGTCCTGGGGTGCTTTTTCA